AAAAGTCCTTCAGATTTGGAGGTGAGCTAAAGAATTTCCCAGACAAGCAAATAATGGAGTTTATCACCACTAGACCAGCCTCAAGAGAAATTTTAAAGAGATTTAAGTTGAAACAAAAAGGTGCTAACCAGTAACAGGAAAACAAAGCTTAAATCCCAATGGTAAAAGTAAATATAGAAAATTTAGAACAGCCAAGAGCTATAAAGATGGTGGACTAATTACTTATAAAGCTAGAATAATCACTGAAGACAAAAGTGAAAAAAAACAAACACCTATAACTACACTCAACTGTTAAGGGCAACACAGATAAAAGGATGTAAACTGTGACATCAAAAGCATAAACAGAGTGGGTGGGGGGGTGTAAAATGCAGTGACAAGAATCCCACCTTGCCACTTTTATTCAATACACTACTAGAAGTCCTAGCCAGAACAATTAAGCAAGCAAAAGATAGAAAAGGCACTCTTCCAAAAGGAAGGGAAGAAGTAAAACTGTTACTATTTACAGGTGACATGTTATGAATTTGAAGAAAACCTAAGATTCACCGAAGAACTATTAGAACTAAAAAAAATCAGTAAAGCTGCAAGATACAAAATCAATACACAAAACTGCTGCATTTCTATAAACTAAAAATACACTATCAGAAAGAGAAATTAAGAAAACAATTCCACTTACAATTGCATCAAACAGAGGAATCAATTTAAATAAGGAGCTGAAAGACCTGTACACTGAATCCAATTAAAAACTGGGCAGAGGAGCTGAACAGACATTTTCACAAAGACAGACAGCCAACTGATACATGAAAAGGTGTCCAACACCATCAGTGAAATGCAAATCAAAACCACAAGGAAGCATCACCTCACAGCACAGGAAACAATTGAAATGCTCTATAGAAAAGTAACCCAAAGTACTACCATAGTAAAAAACCTGCTTAAGATTCTCAAACATCATGTCTTCTTTAAGGCGGTGCAGAGAAAAAGAGAGCAAGCCAAGCAGTCAGGCAATAAAAGGGAAATTTATTAGAGGAAAAAGAGAGGGTGACTGGCTCTTAAGGAGAACCAGCGTCCTCCCCTTCTGATGGGGTCCTTCTTATACCCCACCAATGAAAAATTCTCTGAAGGGATTGTTAATTTTTAGCCTGTAGTTGAGTCCTGTGGTCACGTAGCCAGAGGTCTGGAATCTGGTGGTCTCACAGCTTTGAGAAGATAGGTGCCAGTGAGAAAACAGAATGCCATTTGGGCAATTTGGTTAATCTCACGGATCACCATGATTTTATTCTTTGTTTGCGAGGTAGACATACTGAGCCATCTTATCAATGAGACCCCATATGAGCCCTATCATCTTCAACTTTTAAGTCCATAAGGATAATCTGGAAATCATGTTAATAACAGAGTCCTAGATTGAGTCCTAGACTCCTAGTTCTGAGTCCTAGACCCAGAAACGGAAACAGTAAGTCTGAAACAGAGTCCAGAAATTTGCCCTTTAACCCTCTGTATCAGGGTCCAATGGATACAATTTAAAATTAAGATTTTTTTTCTCAGAAGGTCTACTTCAAGACTTTTATTCTTTCTTAATAAGGGGAGGAGGAAGGAATTGGCGCCTACCTACTCAAGGCTACGAGACCACTGGATTCCAGACCTCCAGCTACATGACCGCAGGACTCAGCTACAGGCTAAAAATTAACCAGCCCTTCAGAGATTTTTTCATTGGCAGGGTTTAAGAAAGACCCCATCAGAAAGGGAGGACACTGGATCTCCTTAAAAGCCAGTCACCCTCTTGTTTTCCCTCTAAAAATTTCCTTCTCTTGCCTGACTGCCTGGCTCAGTCTCTTTTTCTCCGCATGCGCCTTACAAACAGCCAGGTAGAGAAATTTTTACAACTTTGTTGCACTGACTATTCTAATTGGTGTTTATAAAAGTATAAGTGAAAATTCTCTGAAAATACAGAAATAGATGGTCATCTCCACAGAATTCCACACACAAAAATTCTCTGCAAATATAAACTGTCATCCCCACAAAAAACATTGCTTTTTGACAAAGCAGGCACAAAAATTACCAGACAGTAATGTTAGAACCTATTAGAGATGGATATGAAATCTAAAACCAGTAGTGTGTTGTGACAACCAACTGCAGGAAGAATTAAATGCAATAATAAGCTGTATTAGAGATGTGACTGAAATCTGGAAGAGTACTTATATAATGGGTTATCTCTCAACTTTATGGATGACAGCTGATGAGCAATTAGTTGTCCTCAAAGACAATGCCCATTTCATCTATATATACCTTTAAATGCTACAAAAATTTAGAATAAGGTTTTGGGGTTCTTATGCTCAAGTTGATTCATACAATGAATCATACAATCAAGATGATTCCAGATGGTGTCAAAGAACACACTTTGATACAAAGTCCTAAACAGTCTTTCATAGCTATGTTTCTAAACCTGGCAAATCACCGAATCAGAAGTATTTGAGCACTAGTTAAAAATACAGACACAGATTTCATGAAAGGGCTTAGGAATTCTTCTTTCAGTAAATATCCAGGGAGATTGTAATGATAGGCCATTGAGAAATATGGTCATACGACATCTACTCTAAATACAATAACTTCTTTTTACCCATTTCCCACCCACTGAACTGACAAAAATACAAAGTTTGACAATGCTCTCTGGTAATGAGGCTTTGAGAAACAGATATATTACTGGTAAAAGTGTAAAGTAGTACAATTTCCATAAAGACTGAGTTTGCAGTATGTACCAAAACTGTAAATGCAGATACTCTCCAACCCAAATACCACTTCAGGTTTTAGTCTATAAATATGTGTGAATGTGAAGTCACTCAGTTGTGTCCAACTCTTTACGACCCCGTGGACCGTAGCCTACCAGGCTCCTCCGTCCATGGGATTCTCCAGGCACGAATATTGGAGTGGGTTGCCATTTTCTTATCTGCATACAAAAAGCAACACTTGTAGAATTTTATTCCCTGAAGCACCAACTATAATAGCAAAATTCTTGAAACAAAGGAGGAAGTACTACACAGACAAGATAGTCAGAGATCCAAAATATTATCACTAACTCGAAAAAATACAGCACTATTTAGGCTAGTATATAAAGTATGCTCAAGTTAGTGATAAAATAAGGGGGAATAAACAACCAAAGAAAACACAAACGAAAACCAAAGCTAGCAGAAGTAGCAGAGATGAGAAGAGAGATAAATGAAATAGAGAACAGAAAAAAAAAAATTACTGAAACCTAAATTTGGTTCTACAAAAAGATCAACAAAATTGACAAACCTTTAGCTAAATGGACTAAGAAAAAAAAATATGCTAAAAGGAAAGTGGGAATATTACCACTGTTTCTACAGTAATAAAACAGACTATATAAAGAGTGCACTATGAACAAATGGACACTGAAAAACTGGATAACCTAGATGAAATGGACAAATTCCTAGAAACACAAAACCTACTAAGAATCACAAGGAAGCAGAAAATCTGAATAGGCCCAGTAACTAGTAAAGAGATTGAATCAGTAGTCAAAAATCTCTAAACAAAGAAAAACCCTAGATCTGATGGCATCTTTGGTGAACTCTACTAAATATATAAAAGAGAACTATGCCAATCCTCAAAATTTTGCTAAAAAGTTGAAGAAGGAACACTTTCATTCTATGAAAACATACCCTGATACCAAAGCCAGACAACTACAAATCAATATCCCTTATGAACACTGATGCGATCCTCAACAAAATACTAACGAATAGAACTCAACAGCACATTAACAAATGGGATTTATTATTGGGAGAAACTTAGTTCAACATATAAAGACTGTTCAAAGCAATATATCCTATCAACAAAATGAAGTGAAAAAAAACACAATCATCTCACTGATATACAAAAAGCACTTGACAAAATTCAACACCTTTCATGATAAAGACACAACAGGCATAGAAAGACACAAGGGCCACATAATAAAAGCCATATAATGCAAAACCCACAGCAAATGTCATACTCAAAGGTGAAAGACTAATTATTTTTCCTCTAGGATCATGAACAAGGCAAGAATGCCCACTTTCAACACTACTCTTCCACGCACAGTACTGGAAGTTCTAGCCAGAGCAATTAGGTAAGAAAAAGAAATAAAAGATATCCAGATTAGAAAAGAAGTAAGTGTTAAGTGTTAGTCGCTCAGTCGTGCCCAACTTTTTGTGACCCCATGGACTGCAGCCCACCAGGCTCCTGTGTCCATGAGACTTTCCAGGCAAGGATACTGGAGTGGGTTGCCATTTCCTTCTCTGAAAAGAAGTAAAACTATCTACAATTTTCAGATATTATCTTATATGCTTAGAGTTTAGCAAACCTTAAAGACGCCACAAAAAAGCATTAAAACTAATAAATTCACCAAAGAGACAGGATAGTCAGTGCACAAAAATCAACTGCAATTCTACACATAAATAGTGAGCCATCAGGAAAACACACACAGACAATTCCATTTTCAAGAGCATCAAAAAGAATAAATAATTAGAAATTTATTTAATCAAGGAAGTAAAACACTTGTACAATGAAAACCACACAACACTGCTGAAAGAAATTAAAAACAATTGTAGAAACAAAACTGGAGAACTCGCATGTCTTGATTTCAAAACTTACTTATAGAGCTATGGTATTCAAAATGGTATAGTATTGGCACAAAGACAAACACAGACCAATGGAACAGACAGCCTAAAATAAACCCTCATACACATGGTCAAATGATCTCTGACAAGGGTCTAAAGACCATTCGGCAGAAAAAGACAATCTTTACAACAAATGGCACTGGGAAAATTGGATAACCACACACAGAAGAATGATGCTAGATCCTTAACTAACACTATATATATATATATATATATATATATATAAATTAGCTCAAAATGGATCAAAGATCTACACATAAGACCTAAAACAATAAAACTCTTAGAAGAAAACATGGGACAAAACATTCCTGCATTTAATTTGAAAATGATTTCTTGGACATGACACCAAAGGCACCAGTCACAAAAGAAAAAACAGACATACTGGACTTCATGAAAACTAAAAAACTTTTTGAATCAAAGAACGTTATCAATAACATAAAAAGGCAACTCATTGAATGAGGGAAAATATTTGTAAATCATATAAGGAACTAATATACAGAATATTTAGAGAAGTCCTAAAACAACAAAAACAAACTGGCAAAGAACATGACTAATCATTCCTCCAAAGAACACAGAGAAAGAGCCAACAATCACATGAAAGGATGCTCAACATCACAGAAATGCAAATCAAAACTATGAGATAACACCTCACATCCACAAGAGTGCCAACTACCAAAAAAACCCAAACAAACAAGTTTTGGTGAGGATGTGGAAAATTTCGAACTCTTAATTACTGTTTGTGGGAATGTAAAATGGTGTGTGTTCACATGTGCGTGTTCAACTGCTCAGTCATGTCTGACTCTCTGCAACCCCACGGACTGCAGGAGCCCACTAGGCTCCCTCTGTCCATGGGACTTTCCAGCAAGTATACTGGAGTCGGTTGCCAGTTCCTTACTCCAGGGGATCTTCCTGACCCAGGGATCAAACCCATGTCTCCTGCATTGGCAGGCAGGTTCTTTACTACCGTGTGCCCTGGGTACAGGTGATACAAAAAAACAGTATAGGAGTCCGGCCCCCCACCCCCCATATTAGCTCAACCGCGGAAGCAACCCAAGTGTCCATTAACAGATGAATGGATAAGCAAAATGTGGTGTAACTGTGTGTGTACACGTATGTGTACACACACAATGGAATTTTACCCTGCCTTAAAATGGAAGGAGATTCTGCAATATACAACATGGATGAACCTTGAAAACATTACACTAAGTGAAATAAGCCAAATACAAAAAAGACAAACACTCTGATCCCACTTACATGAGATCGTTGCACTAGTCAAAATCATAAGAGACACACAGTATCAAAATGGTTGCCAGGGGCTGGGACAAAGAGAAAATGGGGCATTACTGTTTAATGAGAACGCGATGAAAAGAGCTAAGGGAAAGGACAGTGGTGGTGGCTGCACGACAACGTCAATGTATTTAGTACCTCTGGACTGTACACTTAAACATGGTTAAGATGGTAATGTTTACACGCACTTTTGATGATTGCTGTTTAGTCACTAAGTCGTGTCCTTTACCTCAATTAAAGAAAAGTAACAGAAGGGGAAAATATATTTATTTATTTGTAAGGTGTAAAACACGACATGGGGTCGCAAAGAGCCGGACACGACTGAGCAACTGAACTGAACGTATAAAATATCCCTGTAAAGATACCTAAGAAATGCAAAACAGCTGTTTCCTACAGTAAGAGAACATGGCTGGCTAGAGGACCTTGAAGGAAGGGAACAGCACACACTGTGTACCCTGTTTCTCTTTACTTAAATGTTGGGTCAGGTTAACTGATTACTTCCTCAAAGACTAAATAAATACACAAAAAATCTTGGCAGCGCTTGGAAACAAATTAGTAATTGTGTATAGTCCCCTACTACATGTAACAGTTGCAGGGCTGGGAATCTTTTCAGAGACTTTTGGCATTTGCTATCTAAAAGTGCCTAAATCCGGCAAAAACAGGAAAAAATATAGTTGAGTCATGCTCAATTTAGGGAACTGTTTATTGAAAAGTAGGTTCAACCGCCAACTATTAGTAAATGCTTCCTCTTTTAGTCATGATTTTTACATCCTTTCTTAAAATGCCCAAACATAACGAAAAAGTAATGCTACCAAAGTTAAATATGGATTATGACAGGATGACTATTTCCTGAACCTATTGAAAGACATTCCCTTATTTTTATTTTGTAGCACAATCTGATTTATAATGTTTACGTACCATTTAAAGAACAAAAGTTTGTAGAACTAAGTTGCAACAGAACAGCAAGTTAGTTTTAAGAACACAACAGAAAGTTTAACAGAACAGAAAGCAAATGAAACATAAATTTTTACTGTTTGCCCTCAACTTCAAACAGAAAAACTTAAAAGAACAAACTTTAAACTGACCATTTATATACATTTGAGATACAGCTAACCAGCCTGTGGCTCTTTTTCCATGTAATATTCCTTTTTGGTCAGGAGTTTTTTCTTCGAAACAACTGGATGTTATGAGTTTGGTAAACCAAACGTACTTTCTAGGAAGTGCACACGATATTTAAAATAACAGTAAATGTACATGATATTAAAAATAACAATAAATGGGTGTGCAGACCACATACATAACACAGACTAGATAAACCTAGACGTTTCTTTTCAAAATCGGCATCATACAAGACTCCACAATGAAATAAACCCGTTTTGGTGAAAGGGGTAACTTTCCGTAGCTCTAAGTCTCCGCCTTCCCGTTATTACAGGGAAATCCTGGAAGGAAAGCTCGGAAGGCTCCGAAAGGCGAGTCCTCCGGGAACGTTTCCTGCCGCGCACACCCGGCCGGGAGCTCTTCTCTCTTTCCTCCAACTTCTCCACAAACCAGCGCCGCGAGCAGCCTCCCCACCCCCTTGCAGAAAGTCAAGGCTGCGCCCGCCGAACAACACCTCCCTCCAACTCCGGACGTTCGGACGCGGCCGCCGCCGAGGGAGACTCCGCACAACGGGATCGCGGCACCGGGACCAGAGCCGGCGGCTGCCCCCGTGCCGGCCCCGGGCCCACCCCACACGAACAAAAAAGAGTCGCGGCGGACGGGGGACTGCCTGCAACGTCCCCGGCCGGGCCTCAGGCTCCCTCCGCACCCCCCTCTCTGGACGGGGACCCCGAAACCCGCAAGGCCGCGGATGGGTAGGGGGGCGCCGCCGCGCAAACTTACACCCCCAGCCCGGCTGGGCGCCGCGAGGGGCGCGGAGCGGAGCCCACTGAGGAAAGGCCGCCGACGAAATGCCCTCCGCCCTGCGGCCCCGAGTCCCCCAGGTTTCCCGCTCCTCGTCCCCGCGCCCGGGACGCCGCGCGAGCGTCCCCCGTCCCCCCCAGGGCTGCTCACCGAGGCCGCTGAAACCCGCTCTCCGCCGCCGGTCACTGGCTCGGACTTCTGAAACCCAGAGGGAGGAGGGCGGCGCGCACCCGCGGACCGCCCGCGCCGCGCGTCACCGCACCGCCCCCGCCTTCCGCCCGCGCAGGCGCGCGGCGCCCGGTCAGGTGACCCGGTCCCCATGGTAACAGGGCGGGGGGCGGCTCTCACCTCCTGCCGCTCTAGCCCACCTGCTCCTGTCTCCCCACAGGTCCTGCACTTCGGCCCTGTGCCACCCGCCTACTGCTGTTCACCTGCGCACATGCTCATTTGGTTCCCATCGCCTCCACCACAGAGTCCTGAGAACCTGTCGTTCGGCGATTTCCTGGCCAGCCTTAGACTTCCACCACACTCACAGGCTGTTAAACATTCCTCCCACTAACCCTTCTCGACTCCTGCCTTGCGCTACAACTTTTCTCTTTGGTTTTTATTAGTCTTCGTCTATCTGATCTAAGTTTGCTGGTTGTTGAAGGTTATGTGTCGTGGTGTACAGAAGTAATACCTGTATCCTAATCAAAAGCTGAAAAACTATTAGGAACTGTCCTAAGAACATAAGGGATACAGTAGTCTTAGTTTGTGCTTACATCAAAGGTAGATACACCATCTTCTTTATCGGGCAAAGACACTGAGGCACATTTTACCTACGTTTTCCATACTTACCATGGAGCAGCAGTACTTGAGAAAAGAGCATTAACTTAGAAGCATTGTATTTCTAGCTAAATTGTTTAGTGCCATGATAAGTTAACCTATGGTTAAATAAAAATCTGAGCATAAAAGAGATGACAATAAGATGAAAACTTAAGACTTCAGAGAGTTGTTGGTCTAATAGACATGTAAAAACAACTGCAACGGGAAGAAAGAAATAAAATTGCTTTTGTTCACAGGTGACATAGTTACTCAGAAACTCCCAAAGAACTGACCCCCACACACACAAAAAAACCTAAAACTAATAAGCAATTACAGCGGGGTTGCAGGATTCAAGGTTAACATACAAGAGCCAGTTGTTTTCCTATGTGACAGCAACAAACAACTGGAATTTGAAATTAAAGACACAATATCACTCAGCACAAAGAATGAAACAATACTTAGACATAACTAACAAAATATGTAAAAAATCCATATGGAAAAAGCTAAAATTCTTGTGAAAGGAATCAAAGAAGATACAAATAAATGGAAAGAAAGTCTGTATTCATGAATAGGAAGAATCCCTATTGTCAAGACATCAGTTTTACCCAACTGAATAGATTTGACAAAATCTCAGTCAAAATCCCAACAAGGTATTTTTTGAACATCAAGAAAATGATCTAGAAGTTTCTTTAGGAAGACAAAAGTCTCAGAAGAGCCAACCTAAAATGGAAGAACAACAAAGTTGCAGGCTTGTGTGTATCAACATCAAAATATATTATAAAGCTACAGTAATCATGTAGTCAGGTATGGATGTGAGAGGTGGACCATAAAGAAGGCTGAGCACTGAAAAATTGATGTTTTAATACTGTGGTGCTGGAGAAGACTCTTCAAGTCCCTTGGACAGCAAGGAGATCAAACCAGTCAATCCTAAAGGAAATCAACCCCGAATATTCACTGAAAGGATTGATGCTGAAGTGCCAATACTTTCTCCACCTGATGCAAAGAGATGACTCATTGGAAAAGTCCCTGGTGCTGGGAAAGATTGAGGGCAGGAGGAGAAGGGGACGACAGAGGATGAGATGGTTAGATGGAATCACTGACTCAATGGTCATGAATTTGAGCAAACTCCGGGAGATCATGAAGGACAGAGAAGCCTGGCATGCTGCTGTCCATGGTATCACAAAAAGTTGGATACGACTTAGCAACTGAACAACAACAGTAATCAAGGCAGTATGGTTATGGCAAAAGACTGAAAATGTAGATCAATGGAACAGAATACAGAACCCAGAAACAGACTCACACAAGTACATTCAATGGATCTTTAACAAAGGAGCAAAGGTATTCAACAGACAAAGGGTAGTCTTTTCAACAGACGGTACTGGGGCAACCGGATCTTCACATACAAAAAATTAATATAGACGAGACTTTAACCTTTCACAAAAATTAACTTGAAATAGACCATAGATCTACAATTATAACTCAAAACAATAAAACTTCTGGAAGATAACATAGGGGAAAATCTAGGTGACCTTTGGTTTGGTCATAAGTTTTATATACAACATCAAAAGCACAATCCATGACAGGAGAAATTAATAAGTTAGACTTCATTAAAATTTAAAAATTCTTCTTTGTGAAAGACAGTGTTTAGAGAATTAAAAGACACCAACTCTATGCTATCCCATGGACTGTAGCCTGCCAGGCTCCTCTGTCCATGGAATTCTCCAGACAAGAATATTGGGGTGGGTTGCCATTTCCTTCTCCAGGGGATCTTCTTGACCCAGGGACTGAACCCAGGTCTCCTGCATTGCAGATAGATTCTTTACCATCTGAGTCACCAGGGACGCTCTTATAGAGAATGAAAAGACAAACCACAGAGATGTTTGCAAATTTAAAAATTTGATTACACATCTAATCAAAGATTTGCATCTAAAATATTTAAAGAACACCTAAACTTCAACAATAAGAGCCCAGTTTAAAACTGGGCAAAAGAGCTGAAAGACACTTCACCATAGATGATACACAGATAGCAACTGAGTGTATGAAAAGAGGGTCAACAGCATGACATTAGGGAACTGCAAATTAAAGCAACATTTTGAAATACACTACTATACACCTTTCTAGAATGACTACAATCCACAACACTGACAATGCCAAATTCCAATGAGGATGTGGAGCAACAGGAACTCTCATCCACTGCTGATGGGAACGCAAAATGGTACAACCAGTTTGGGAGGCAATTTGGAAGTTCTCACAAAGCTTAACAATATTCTCAACATATCAGCCAATTATCATGCTCATGGATATTTGCTCAAATGAGCTTAAAACCACACAAAACTCTGCACAGGAGTATTCATAGAAGCTTTATTCATAATCATCCAAAATTAGAAGCAAGTGTGATATCCTTCAATAAGTAAAGGAATACATAAACCATGCTACATCCATGAATGAAATATTATTCAGCAATAAAATGAAAATGAACTACCAAGCCATGGAGAATAGGGAGGAATCTTAAATGCATGTTGCCATTTCCTTCACCAGGGGATCTTCCTGATCCAGGGATCAAACCCAGGTCTCCTGCATTGGCAGGCAGGTTCTTTACCTCTGAGCCACCTGGGAAGCACTTAAATGCACGTTGCATGTGAAAGAAGATAATCTAAAGTGGTTACATCCTATATGATTCCAACTACATGAGGTTGTGGAAAAAAAGTAAAATGATAAAGGCAGTAAAGAATATCAGCAATTGCCAGTGGTTTTGAAAATAAGAAGGATGAGGTATGTGAAGCAGAGGGGACTTTTTAGAATGATGAAGCTATTCTGTATGCTACTGTAATGATATATCCATGACATTCTGGACAGCAGGTAGTATAATTATGTATGTATATATATTCAGTCTTCATTCCCAGTTCCGTGATTGGAGCATTAAGAACCCTTGGAGTTTCATGAGTGACCAATGTGTCCTTGTTATGCTAATAAGGTGGCTCCTGGTTGGAGCAGGGTTTGGGGGAAAAGGAGCCCTAGAAAACTTCATGATGGAAGCTGATCACCAGAAAGAACAAGCCTGAGATTAGAGGGTTGGTGCTTTCAGCACCACTCCCCAATCTTTGGCAAGGGCAGGGTGCTGAAGAGTGAGTTCATCTATGGGCCAGTAATATTACCCATCGTACCTATGTAACGAAACCCCAAATAAAAAATCTAAATACCAGGGCTTGATGGAGCTTCCTGGTAAGTGAACATATCAAAGTACCAGGAGAGTGAAGCACCTCCAAGTCCATAGCGATAGCCTCCTGCCCTGGGGACTCTTCCAGACTTGCTCTATGTATCTCTCTATCTGACAATCTATTTGTGTACTTTATAATAAAACCACAATCCAAAATACAGTGCTTCCAGTGACTAGTAGCTAAGTACCAAACTTGAAGGTGCACTGTGGGAATCACTGAATGTGTAACCACTTGGACAGAAGTGCCAACATCATGAGGATGCCATTTGGGCTCTTCTGTGATGTGATTGCAGTCTTGTTAGAGATCTTGTCCTTTGACTTGTAGGATCTGACAATAACTCTGGGTAGTTAGTGTCAGGTTGAATGAAGCTGTAGGACACCCAGTTGGTGTCAAATAATTGTTGATGGAATGGAACTCGCTATACAATGACCAAGAACCCTGATGTGCAGTAATGTATGAGTAGTGACTCATCATTTGTGACAGATGTACAATACTAATACTCAGTTCAGTTCAGTTCAGTTGCATCCAACTCTTTGTGATCCTATGGACTGCAGCACATCAGGCTTCCCTGTCCATCGCCAGCTCCTAGAGCTTACACAAACTCATGTCCATTGAGTTGGTGATGCCATCCAACCATCTCATCCTCTGTCATCCCCTTCTCCTCCCACCTTCAATCTTTCCCAGCATCGGGGGCTTTTCCAATGAGTCAGTTTTTTGCATCAGGTGGCCAAAGTATTGGAGTTTCAGCTTCAGCATCAGTCCTTCCAATGAATATTCGGGACTGATTCCCTTTAGGATGGACTGGTTGGATCTCCTTGCAGTCCAAGGGACTCTCAAGAGTCTTCTCCAACACCACAATTCAAAAGCATTAATTCTTCAGTGCTCAGCTTTCTTTACAGTCTAACTCTCACATCCATACAAGACTACTGGAAAAACCAAAGCTTTGACTAGACAGACCTTTGTCGGCAAAATACTGTCTCTGCTTTTTAATATGCTGCCTAGGTTGGTCATAACTTTTCTTCCAAGGAGCAAGCATCTTTTAATTTCATGACTGCAGTCACCACTAATTCTAGAGGTTAGGAAAAGGGTGAATTGTGATTAGGGTGATGGAAGTACATGAAAACAATCTGTGCTATTTGCTCAATTTTTCTGCAAACCTAAAACTGTTGTAAAAAATTAATTTAAAATATAATAATTACACAAATAGAGTGGTGATGAGTGTTTAAGAAAAAGCTCAAGGGTTTATACAGAATGATAAACAACAAGGTCCTACTGTATAGCATAGGGAAGCATATTTATATCCTATGATAAAGGCAAAGAATATGAAAAATATATTTATGTACAACTGAATCACTTTGCTCAGCTTTCTTTATAGTCCAACTCTAACATTCATCCACGACTACTGGAAAAACCACAGCTTTGACTAGACAAACCTTTGTTGGCAAAGTAATGTCTCTGCTTTTTAGTATGCTGTCTAGGATAGTCATAGTTTTTCTTCCAAAGAGCAAGTGTCTTTTAATTTCATGGCTGCAGTCAC